AACTCCACAGCTTCTGCATGGCAAAAGAAACAGTCATTAGAGTGAATCAGCAACCAATATAATGGTAAAAGATTTTTGCAGTCTACCCAACTGACAAAGGGCTGATATCCAGAATTTACAAAGAACTAAAACAGATTTACAAGAAAAAAACAAACAAACCCATTCAAAGGTGTGCGAGGGATATGAGCAGACACTTTACAAAAGAAGACATACATGAGGCCAACAAACATATGAAAAAATGTTCATCATCCCTGGTCATTAGAGAAATGCAAATCAAAACTACATTGAGATACCATCTCATGCCAGTTAAAATGGTGATCATTAAAATATCTGGAGACAACAGATGCTGGAGAGGATGTGGAGAAATAGGAACACTTTTACACTGTTGGTGGGAGTGTAAATTAGTTCAACCATTGTGGAAGACAGTGTGGCGATTCCTCAAGGATCTAGAAATAGAAATTCCTTTTGACCCAGCAATCCCATTACTGGGTATATATCCAAAGGATTATAAATCGTTCTACTATAAGGACACGTGCACACGAATGTTCATTGCAGCACAATTTACAATAGCAAAGACCTGGAACCAACCCAAATGCCCATTGACGATAGACTGGATAGGGAAACTGTGGCACATATACACCATGGAACATTATGCAGCCATCAAAAATGATGAGTTCGTGTCCTTTGTAGGGACATGAATGAACCTGGAAACCATCATTCTCAGCAAACTGACACAAGAACAGAAAATCAAACACCGCATGTTCTCACTCATAGGCAGGTGTTGAACAATGAGAACACATGGACACAGGGAGGGGAGCATCACAAACTGGGGTCTGTTGGGGGGAAATAGGAGCGGGACAGTGGGGGGTGGGGAGTTGGGAAGAGACAGCATGGGGAGAAATGCCAGATATAGATGAAGGGGAGGAAGGCAGCAAATCACACTGCCATGTGTGTACCTATGCAACAATCTTGCATGTTCTTCACATGTACCCCAAAACCTAAAATGCAATAAAAAAATCTGCACATGTACGCTCCTGAATCTATATTAAAAAAAACTTTTTAAAATTAAAAATAAACATGTTTTGATAACATACTCAAAAAAAAAGTGAAGATAGAACCAGAATTTCATGAACTAGGAGAAAGTAAGTTATTTTCCCCAAATTAGAATGTTAATATATAATGATATAAAAATATGATACAATTTTCTCTTTCCCATCCTCTTTCTGTGAATCCCACTGTGAAACTACTTTTTTGAAGCTTTGTTCCAATAGACTCCAAAAAGGTTTTACCAGAATCCTATACATCTATAGGAAAGAGGGAGTGTTTGACAGCATGTATTTATTCATAATGTACCTTGTTCTGCAAAGTATCTAGGACAACTTCTAAAATAGCACACCTAGATCAGATGTTGGTGAATTTATCAGACTGTTTTCTTACACTGTTCCTTTTCTTCTTGTCTACATAAATAAAATGGACTATTTTACTTGCATTCTCTCTTTGCTAAAGGCTCTTAATATTGTATGCTCTTCCTTCTGGGCACATACTTGGGTTTGAACAGGTGCCTTCTGAATACATGGCCTTGATCCAAACAATTAAATTGAATAAATTTAATGAAATTAAGTTCATCAGGCTACGTTAACAAGAAATTTTAATTACATAATCTAGGAGGTCAGATCAGATTTGTCTTCTATCTAAACTACTTTTAAGAGAAATTTAGGGAAAATATTCTAAGTTACGAGAGACAGAGAGAGAGAGAGAAAGAGAGAGAGAGTGTGTGTGTGTGTGTACGCCTGTATATCTGTATCAATATAGTTGGGGGAAAAAGTGTATATTCTTTCCTAAATCATTTTTTTTTGGCAATAATTGAGAATCTAGGAAGTTGGGCATTATAGAAATGACCTCTTCATTCATACCCAGAATTGATTGAGGCCCTCTTCAGGAGTGCTTTTTGAGAGTTGTCATTTTTTTCACTCTTGGCTCTGTTAACCATATTCTTACTCTCAGCCCTCCCCAGTTTTTCTTTGGCTTTTTTTTTTTTTGAAGACAGTCTCACTTCATCACCCAGGCTGGAGTGCAATGATGTGATCTCAGCTCACTGCAACCTCTGCCTCCTGGGTTCAAGTGATTCTCCTGCCTCAGCCTCCTGAGTAACTAGGATTATAAGCGTGCTCCACTGCTCCCAGCTAATTTTTTTTTTTTTTTTTTTTGGCTTAAAACAACAAATGTTTACTATGCTATAGTTCTGTAGTTCAGAAGTCCAACAAAGGCTTCACTGGGCTAAAATCGAAGTGTCAATAGGGTTGAGTTCCTTTCTGGAGGCTCTAGGGCAGAATTTGTTTTCTTGACTTTTCTAATTTCTTGCCTGCATTTCATGGTTCATGGTCTCTGTCCTCCATCTTCAAAGCTGGCAAAATAACATGTCTCTAACCCTGCTTTTGCCATCTAATCTTTTTCTTTTTTTTCTTCCTTTTTTTTTTTTTTTTTTTTTTTTTTTTGAGACACAGTCTCACTCTGTTGCCCAGGCTGGAGTGCAGTGGAGTGATTTCACCTCACATCAGCCTCTGCCTCCCAGGTTCAAGCGACTCTTCTGCCTCAGCCTCCCAAGTAACTGAGACTACAGGCACATGCCACCATGCCCAGCCAATTTTTGTACTTTTAGTAGAGATGGGGTTTCACCATATTGGCCAGGCTCGTCTTGAACTCTTGACCTCATGATCTACCCGATTCGGCCTCCCAAAGTGCTGGGATTACAGGTGTGAGCCACCGCACCCAGTGCATCTCATCTTTTTTCTTCGACTCTTTACTTTTGCCACCTCTTTCCCCTTTTAAAGACCTTGTGATTACATTGGGCCCACCTGAATAATTCAGTTATCTTATAGGGTTTCGCCAAGTTGGCTAGGCTGGTCTCCAACTCCTGACTTCAAGTGATCTGCCCACCTCGGCCTCCCAAAGTACTGGGATTACAGGTGTGAGCCACTGCACCCAGCCTTGGCATCTTCATCACTATATATAATGTATCCCACTTTCATCTACCTTAGAGTTACCCCACATGGCTACTCTAATTAGCTGGACTCTACAAGCTGGTCCCACAGAATGCATACCTGCATGGAGGGACCCGCGGGCTGGTTGGAACAACCCAGATATTACAGAGACACAAGAGGGCTGGAGGGTGAAGCTGCCACTTTTCCCCTCCCTGGTCTTGCTGATTCTGCATGGTGTTGTGGAGAGATCATAGGCTTAGGGGCCAAGTCCTGGCTCTGCTGACATCTATCATATGGCCTTGGGCCTCTGTTTCTTCATCTGTGAATGGGGAGGCTGGACTGGTGACTAGCCTGGTCTTGAAAGGTGAGGCCACCCAAGTAGAGCCCCAGGGCTCCCTTCCCTTCTTAATCAGACTGATATTAACACTTTACTTTGACTGGTATTATATTTTGCAGTGCTAAGATATATTTGAGACATTAATATATTTTATAAACATTTTTAAAGCATATAACAATATCTCTTAAAAACTTTATTAAAAAGTTTGAAAAGTCCCTAGTAGATGACCTCAGGACTCTTCTAACTCCAGCATTCCATGTACGATGAGCTTCTAGCACCTGGAGACAACAGATGCAGGCTACCAGCAGGCTCCCTGCAAATATGTCCATAGGACTTTTGTTCTAGACTGAGAAAAGGCTGTTAGTTTTTTAAAAAACCAACACACCCAATTTTTGATCAGGAAAATGACTCATGTGAGCAGACCCAGTTGGTAACATGAGGAAATGGGACCAGAACCCAGTTTTTCTGATGATCCCACACTTTGGTTGGTTTAATTTTAACATAAAGTGGCAATAAATATGACATTTCTTGTACCCTTCCCTTGGTAAGATTTAATGCTCCCATTTTTTTTCCCCTTGGTAAAAATTATTGAAGGTTTTTCTGGCTAGAAGAATTTTTTTTCCCCCTTTCTTTTAAGGTTACCTTCCCTTTTCTCCATAGGTGTTCCAGTTACAGTACCTTGGCCTGAGAACAGTTGTTGCTGATACAGTATCATTTTCAATTGCTGAAATCTTATAATCAAACCAATATTTTTACCCTATATCCCTCCTCTGAGCTCCAGACCCAAACAGCCAAATGTCTTCCTTGACATCTCCTCCCTCAGATGTCTCAAAAGAAGCTCAATCTCAACATGCCCAATACTGACATTATGGTCTTTCTCTCCAAATCTGTTTCTCTTCAGGACACCCTGAATCTGGAAATGACACTAACATTCAGGTGATAAGCCTAAGAGTACTCCTTACTATTTCCCTTTCTCTCCATTGTACATCTTAAATGTCTTTGGATTAGTTCACCAAAGACTAAGTAACAGCTTCTAGACTACCCCCTCTCCAATCTGTTTCCTACAGGCAGTCAGATGAATCTTCTTATAATGCAAATCTGATTAATTCCCTACCCACGCTCTCCAACCTTTCAGTGACTTCCCACTGCTCTTGGGATAAAGACTTTAAGCTCCTTAGTACTTCCTACAAGCTTCTGCTCACTTCTGCAGCCTTGTCTTGCTCCGCCCTGGTGTCTGCAGTTTCTCTTAAATGGTCCTTTTATCTCTCTTATCCGGGTTAACGCTTTCATTCTTAGGAACTCAGCTCAAGCTTCACTTGTTTGGGAAAAATTTTCCTGTCCTCCCTGACTAAATGAGTCACTCTGTCACAGATTATCCTACCTGACACATTTGTGTGGGTTGCATTTTATGTTTGTTAGTGTGTCTCCTCCAAGGGTTGGCAAGCTCCTTGAGGGCAGGGACCTCTTTTGTTTTGCTTAGCGCTGTATCCCTGGCATTGAGCACACTTCCTGGCACAGAGCTGCATCCTGAAACTCTATGCTGTCTCGTGGCTGTGAATTTCAATACTTTTTAAAAATGAATATTGCCCTTTTTCATTAGGGGCAGAGTCACAGTATATTATATAATCTTATGTAAAGTACTTTATTCTATGTTCTAGGTTAGAGAACAGAATTGGAGTATTGATGCCAGAGCACATTTCTTCAGCATTTTCCAGATTTACTTTCAGCTTTTTAAAATGTCACTTATTCAGCAAATACTCATTGGGTTACATGACAAGCATGTAGAAAGAATAATAGATAAAGAGGATTCAGAGACACATGAAACCACGAAAAAATGGCAGAGACAGTGGACAGAGAGGGCACTCAGTGAGGACAGGGCTAAATTTGCTTAGGAGGGTGAGATATCTTCTAGAAAGGAGAGAAAACCAAGACTTTTCGAGTTGAATTATAAGAAGAAAGAAAAAAAGGGCTCTTCATGCAGGGGGCAGAATGTGAAAAGGCACAGTGTTCTGAAAACCTGTGAAACTAATAGAACCCTAGAATGGCTATAGTTTACGATGTGGGGGAGAGTGTTGTAGGGATAAGAGTAATTATACTGCAAAGGGACTTGTAGGTGATGCTAAAAAGTTTTTCTTGTGGGTCAACCTTTCACAAACTAAATTCTAAGGAATATTAATTCCTGCAAGATATTATTAGGAATTCTGGAATAAAGAGCCCCAGGACAGGTTAAGTGTAAAATTACTTCACGCTCAAACACTACCTTATCCTGAATTTCAAGGAATACACTGTTCTCCAAATGGCTTAGCAACCTCTTCTCACGGGACATCAACAAAACTCGAGTACAAGATTCCCTGAGACCCAATTTAGGAAATGAGGGCACAAGGAGTAACGAATGCCTACAATATATGAAGCATTGGCAAGAAATGATCAAATCTGTATTTTGGAAAGATGCTCTGGCTTCAGGGTTGTCTTACTCTGTTCTCACACTGCTATGAAGAAACACCCAAGGCTGCGTAATTTATAACTACAAGAGGTTTAATTGACTCACAGTTCTGCATTGCTGGGAGGGACTCAGGAAACTTACAACCGTTGCAGAATGCAAAGGAAAAGCAGCCATCTTCTTCCCAGGGCATCAGGATGGAATGAGTGCAAGCAGGTGAACTGCCAGATGCTTATAAAACCATCAGATCTTATGAGACTCACTCACTATCACGAGAATAGGATGGGGAAAACCACCCCCATGATACAATTACCTCTACCTGCTCCACCCTTGACACATGGGGATTAATGGAGATTATAATTCAAGATGAGATTTTGGGTGGAAACACAGCCAAACCATGTCAAGGGTGAAGTGGGGCACAATGGTGGATATCAGTAAGGCAAGAATTTAAATGGGGAAGTGATGAGGGCCTGAAAGATTGTAGTAGCGCCAATGAGAAAGGAATGAGGCAGAAAAGGGAGTTTTAGGAGACTGACTCAAGGTCCTGATGTCCTCTTGTGTGAAGTGCTTGAGCAGATTCTAGAAAGACAGGGATGAGATTTTACAATGCGGTGATTAGTACTGCCAATGGAGACAGCAAACGCAAAACAAGAGGCACTTTGGGTGGTGTGGAGGTGATGTGGATATTTTTAGACACTGACCTTGTAGAGATGTACAGAAAGCCACTGGAAATACAGGGTTTTAGGTAATAAAAAATGAGAGGAACAATAATAACATCAACTAATACTTACACTGTGTTGGCCACTGTTTTAAGACTCTGTCTGTATTAACTTATTTACTATTCACTAACACTATTATTACTATTCACTTACTATTCATATAATAAATGCTACTATTATAATACTCCTACTTTATAGGCGAGGAAACTGAGCCATAGAAAGCTTGTCTCAGTAACTTGACTAAGGTCAGACAGCTACTGGGAGTTGAAATCTGAACCCAGGTCTGAAGTTGGGCTTCTAACTGGGATTCTGCATGGCCTTTTCACATACAGAGCTGAAAACCACAAGTAAAAAGTTAAAGCCAGAAGTGTGAAAGTAACAGAAATTTGTAGAAAAAGTTCAAAGGAGGACCAATGACAGTTGCCCAAGGAGTAACAGCATTTAGTTGCCAATGGAGGGAGAAAGGCATAGAGATGAAAGGCCAAGATCTTTTCTAGGCACATAAAATGTGTGCATAGGAGGCAGGGACACACACTGTTGACTACTGTGTGTGATTGAGAACATGGGCTCGTTCTCATGTTATTTGTAAAAGCATGTGAGGTAAGAAGAGGGTATAAAGGTAGGCATTAAGAGGAGAGGTAAAAAGAAGAAAGTGTGGCTTTTTAGTTATCCAGATGTAGCAAATATATTTATTAATATGCACAGAAAATTAAAATATGGGAAAAAATATTTGGATACAAGAAATTCAGTCCTTTTCATCTACTTTATGTTAATTATTATGACATAAAATATCTATGACATGACTCTTAGAATTTGACAGGGTAGAAACACTTAACATAGAAACTGGATATTTTAATTTTTATGGGCTGGTTGCTCTTTACAGTTTCCCAAAGATTTAGAATCAGTTA